GTGGTTGAGTATCAGATTGTTTCATCCCATTTCCCTTTGGGGTTGCTGTAGGTGATCCAGAAGTCTGTTTTTGAGACTTGTTTACATGTCTTCTCATTTCCTCGACGGGGTGGGGGATGCTTCTGGCTCCCACGCGGCTCACCTTCTCTGCCCTAGGAGCTTGGGATGGCAGTGGGGTGCTTCTTTCCGGGTGTTTGGACCAGCTCAGCTTCTCTGCCCTAGGAGCTTGGGATCGCGGCAGGGGAGCTTCCTTCCAAGTTCTCTACCTGATTTTTTTTGATGAGAAAACACTGTTTCTTTTCTGAATGTTTTTTCACTATAAATTCTTCAAGACATTCATGTTTATCTTTCCCATTTTGATATGTAACCTATGTACATAGAAGAGTATATGATCCAGATTTCCAAGTATATACCTATTTTTCCTTGAACATAAGTGAAACACAATGTGATTTCCTCCAGGGTTGTGTTACACCAGCTCCATCATGAATCAATATTCTATTTACCTGTGGCTCCATTGCACACTGTCTTCCTTTCCTGAGGTGCATTTCTCATTCTCTCTACTAATCATACACTGATATGAAAGGTGGAATTTGAATGTCTTTCATGTGTATTATGCAAGCTTTCACTTTGCTGACATGGTGTTGAATGTTAGTCTTTTATTGTAGTGTACAGCCATAATTTCTTTGTAATGATGATCGAACTCAGGACCTTGTGCTTGCAAGGCAGACGTGGTACCACTGAGCTAAATCACTGGCCCACAGCCATAATGTTTTAACAAATCAATGATGTGTGTAGTGAAGGACACAGTAAGTTTTTTTAGTGCTCCGTTTTAGGGAGGAATTGGAGGAAGAGCCTCACTTTGCAGTCTTGACTGCCCTTGAACTGTCTACATAGCCCAGGCTGGACCTTGAACACTTGGCAATCTTCAAATTCATGGCAATCATCCTATAGCAGCCTCCCAAGTGCAGGGATTACAGGCACATTCCACCGCACATGGTTAGAGTTTTCCTTTTGTATTTAATGATGAATTACTTTGTGATATTTTGGTTTTCATTACATTTAATGTATTTCATTAATATTCATCCCCTCATTACCTTCCCTTATACCATCCTTGTATTTCTTATATATGAGTGAAAGGTGACCATTTGGTGTCACTGAGCTATAAGACAATATGCCACCTTTTCCCTATTTCATTGATCTTACATAGACTTGCTCCAAGAAAACTGTTTCCTTTAGCATTTTAATTATTCATAAACCTTATTTAATATTCAATTAAGTTTTTTCTATGAAACCAGATTCAAGTTTCAAAATTCTCCATGAATGCAAAGAAAGTTGTACTGAATGCTGTG